TATTATTATTATTAATTTATATATCATCATTATTGTTTATTCATTATTATTATTATTATTATTTTAATTCATTGTATATATTTTAATTTAAGTTATTTCTTTGAGTGAAATTTCAGTGCCACTAGCATGGAAGTAATGCATAGAAAAATAATGATAGCTTCAATATACCAAAAAAATTCCTACCATCATTCTTGCCCTTCTCCCCATTTGTCATTGGTCAGATAATTAAAAATGAAAGTGCCACTTGGCCTCTAACACCTTTGTATTTTCTGTTTGTTGTCTGTAAGCATCTGACGGCATGTGTTGTGTTTGTTCTGCAGCGATCAGGCAGGGATCCTCAGCGAGGAGAAAACCTCTCGGCCAAGTCTTCGGACAGTGATGTCAGCGACGTGTCCGCTGTGTCGAGATCCAGCAGTGCGTCTCGATTCAGCAGCATGAGCTACATCTCTGTCCAATCAGAACGGCCGCGGGGCAGCCGCAAGATCAGGTGAGACAGCCTCTTCTCAAGTCAGGATCACTGTCAAACCTGTGTGTCACAGTTCAGTCCGGGAACAGTCCACAGCGAGGGCTCCAAAACGGTGTTCTTTGAGGCCACGTACATACTGCTACATTTTGGGATTGACAACCGCAGTTATTTGCAGGAGTGAATTCCTCATGTGTTGGCGTCTCCCGACTGTTAACAAGAAACATGGATGTTAATAGTTTAGCTTGTTTGGTGTTCTGGACCAAACTAATGTCAGAGTCTGGAAACCAGTGTTATTTTAGTACTATTTATTACATATTATAGTATTTCTTAATATTCTGAATTAGCTTTTATTTTTATATTTTCTGTTTCATTTTAATTTTAGTTTTATTTGATGTGATTTTCTCCTTTTTATTCGGTTTTTTATATTTCTATTTAGCTTTAATTTATTTTTATTTCAGTTCTAGTTTTAGTCATTTTAGCCCTTACTACTTTATTTAGGTAACAATTCTATTTAGTTAGTTTGAAAATTAGTTAAGTTTCCACTTTAGTTGAATATTTAAAATCATATTTTATTCGTTTTAGATTTAGTTTTAGTTTTAGTTATATAATAACAACACTGCTGGAAACAGTTGGAGGTAAACCGAGGCACCAAGTTTATGTATGTTTAGTCTCAGCCTCAGACGGCATGCCCTCATACACATGACTAGCAAACACTATCAAAAACTCTGCATTTCTGATCTGATTGACTTGCTTCCAGGAAATTTCTTACCAGTCAACCTGGAAACAGTCAGTTTTGCCTAGATGATGCACCACTTAAATTTGAAAATGCCTTTTAAACCCAATTTAAAGAGTTAGTTCACCCACAAATGAAAAGTCTGTCATTAATTACTCACCCTGATGTCGATCCAAACCCGCAAGACCTTTGTTCATCTTCGCAACACAGATTAAGATATTTTTGATGAAATCCGAGAGCTTTCTAACCCCGTATATACAGAAATGCAACAACCACGTTCAAGGCCCTGAAAGGTAGTAAGGACATTGTTAAAATAGCCCATGTGACATCAGTGGTTCATCACTTAATTTCTTCTGTTCCGATTTCGATATGCCTTCGCAAGAGTACCATGACACATGCGCGTGCATTCCTCTGTTTGTAAACAAGGCGCAGTGCATCCAGGTTCTACAGCAGAACGCCGGCTCCTGAGTCAGCAGCACCACACGCATGCCTCATAGTGAATGCGCGTCAAAGACTGAGACGGAAGAGAAAAAATTGTTGAATAAATTCGTTATTTTTGTTTTTTGTGTGCACAAAAAGTATTCTCATAGCTTCATAAAATTACAGTTGAACCCCTGATGTGATATGGAATATTTTAACCATGTCCTTACTACCTTTCTGGGTCTTGAACGTGTCAGTTGTATTGCTGTCTATGGAAGGCCTGAAAGCTCTTGGATTTCATCAAAAATATCTTAATTTGTGTTCCGAAGATGAACGAAGGTCTTACAGATTTGGATTGACATGAGGGTGAGTAATTAATGACAGAATTTTCATTTTTGGGTGAACTATCCCTTTAATTCCTGAATTTGAACTATGTATGTATTGAACTTGAATGTAAGGAAGTTAAAGTAATTCAGATTGTGTGTAATATTGCATGTAAGTTTGTCAACAAAGTTTAAAGGTTCATAAAATCATGTTTGTGAAATAATCAGAACTTATTACTAGATAACAAATACTTATAAATTATAACACAAAACAGTCTATGGCTGGACACTGTATCAATCAAACAGCCTCTTTCAGATTAAGTGGGCACTTCTTGTCCAGAATATTAGTCAGGCTACACAAATACTGAATACTGCATACAAATATTGTTGGCTCTGTAATAGGGCTGCACGATAAATCGCATGCAATATTTAATTTGTCAGTAAAGCCGATTCTGTAATCAGTGGTAAATCTCCATCACGTGCGGGCTTTCACATTGAGCAGCATTTACTACACAGAGCCGTTGTTCACTGACAAGCTGTGCAAAAAATTGCGCGATTATGAACGTGGTTTTGCGCAGCTTGCCAGTGAAAATATCGCATGCGATTTATCGTGCAGCCCTACTCTGTAATGAATTGCTTGTTATTTTCCTCATTTATAAGTCACTTTGGATATACAGTAAGCGTCTGCTAAACTGGTATCCAAAATTGCATTTGGGTCAAGACGTATCTCATATCTGAATCATCCAGGCGTACATTTGGTTCTAAAATGAAGTTATCACTCCTATAAATACCTGCTGTGTGCAGAACAGGATTAAGCACTCAGAAAAGGAGTGAGGATCATATTTAGCAGCAGTGTGTACATGGCCGCTCTGTAGGCTTCATCATTATTTGGGTCAAGATTGGGTTCGGTTTAGGTGAGTTTGGCACCAAATCAATGTTGACTGTCTGAAATTTTCTAAACGTTTTAAATGTAATATGTACATCCTTTCAAATGTTTGGGGTCAGTACATGCTTTATTTAAAGAAATTAATACTTTTATTAAGCAAGCATGCATTAAATTGATCAGAATTGGCAGGAATTTACAGTGTTACAGAAGATTAAAGAATCCTTTAATGTATCACATTTCCACAAAAATATTAAGCAGCCATTGTTTTAAACATTGATCATAATAAGAAATGTTTCTTGAGCAGCAAATCAGCACATTAGAATGATTTCTGAAGGATGTTGTGACACTGAAGACTGGAGTAATGATGCTGAAAATTTAGCTTTGCATCTCAGGAATAAATTACATTTGAAAATATATTCAAATAGAAAACAGTTATTTTAAATTTTAATAATATTTCACATTATTACTGTTTTTACTGTATTTTTGACTAAAAAAATTGAAGCCTTGGTAAGCATAACAGACTTCTTCAAAAAAAAACATTGTACTGACATCAAACGTTTGAACGGTAGTGTACTTTCATAGCATTGGTCTGTCGTCCAACATTTTCATAATTCGCTCCATGTCAGCGAACACAAACAGTTACTTTTACTGAAATGCTACCAAATAATCACGAGCAAACTAGAGGTGAATATTTCAGTTCTGCAAGCTTTGAAACACATTTTTGTTCTGTTTTATGTGCATACTGTCTGGCTTCTGTTGTTTTTACTGTTAGCATTGCGTTATTTTGTTGTGTTGTCATTCATTCATTCTTACTTTACGGTTTACATTCAGGTACTGTTGACACCTGTTTTCACTGTGCTTCATTTTTGTTCTGCATGCTGCTTGCACCTCTGCTTCTGCCGGCCACGCCCACAGCAATGCAGTGCAGGGGCGGAGCCTCTCCAGGGAGGGGGAGGAGTCAGTTGGGGAGGTGGAACAGGAGGAAGCAGGATTAGAGGAGGACAGAGGGAGGAAGAGAGGAGGGGGGAGGGCAGGAAAACTGAGGAGACAGACAGATAGTGTAGACAGAGAGGAGGCGGAGCTGGAGGAGGAGCCTGAAGAGGGCGTGGCCCAGAGGACGGTCTCAGAGATGGACCTCAGGTAAACTATAGCCATGGCAACCAGCTGTATTGTATACCATAACTTCAAGTCATTCCGTTGGATGCAAACATACTACTAGTATATTCTGTTCATGCCTAAACAAGGTGCACTGCCAGTGGTTTTTACACATTCCAAGTTTTACCCTTAAAGTGATAGTAATTTTGAAATAAATAAATAACTAAAGTAAAAAAAATATATTTAACACATTTGTCAAAATACTATTACTTTATTTATTTGTTTGTTTATTCATTTATTTGTTTATTTATCTCAGAAGTAATGTTAAATACTGGTAAATAAAACAAAATATTTACAAACATTACATCCAGTGTTATTTTAGTGTCATTGTAGTACTATTATAGTTTTCACTAATATTTGAGTTAGTTTTATTTTTCTATATTATATATTTTTTTGCTTTTATATATTTTAATTTTAAATGTTTAGTAACTTTTAGTTACTGTTTTGTCATTTTTATTAGTTTTTTTTATTAGGTCAGTATAGTTTTTGTTTTTTGTTGTTTTTAAAAGAAAAAATTAGTTTAAACTAAATAAAAATGAGAAATGTTGTATTGGCTAATTGTAGCTATTTTTTATTTATTTATTCCTTTTTTTGTTTAACATTTACTTTATCTCAAAGGAAGAAATGTTTTTCTTAAGGTTTTAGTTTTAGTTCTCATCAATCCACAACAAATCCTCTGAATATAACAGTATTCAGAACAGAACAGGAAGTTTAAAATAAACATAATTTGTAATGGCATTCATTATAAACAACATTTATTATAAATGACAAGCCTTAATTAATTTATTTAAAGCAAAACTGAAACTGAAATGTATTTCCAATAGATAAAACTTGGAAATTTATATATATATATATATATATATATATACTCCTGCCAACTCCAGTTCAGTGAAATGAGTGTATAGATACAGTAGGTGGCAAGCCATGGTGATCCGCTCATGATGAATGACTCAATCCTGTGCTAGTTCTGCTTATGTGTGTTTCATGTCTGAATGGCATATTTATGTGCTGCTGTTTGATTGTGCTGCGACTAAAATTCAACACTTGTGACGGCATTATTTGAGGTTTATTAAGAACATGTCATGAAATGTTTTATTTCAATGTCTCCAGACCTTCTAATAGCCCTTTTACCCCTATAAAGGCCTCCATTCAGATACAGCTTCACACTCAGTTTACTGTATTTTTGACTAAAAAAATTGAAGCCTTGGTAAGCATAACAGACTTCTTCAAAAAAAAACATTGTACTGACATCAAACGTTTGAACGGTAGTGTACTTTCATAGCATTGGTCTGTCGTCCAACATTTTCATAATTCGCTCCATGTCAGCGAACACAAACAGTTACTTTTACTGAAATGCTACCAAATAATCACGAGCAAACTAGAGGTGAATATTTCAGTTCTGCAAGCTTTGAAACACATTTTTGTTCTGTTTTATGTGCATACTGTCTGGCTTCTGTTGTTTTTACTGTTAGCATTGCGTTATTTTGTTGTGTTGTCATTCATT